AACCATAATGTTACAGGTTAATGACATATTATGATACTGATAATCCTTTCCATAAATTATTTAGAGAAATGTGTTAAATAATCTTTGCTTTCGTAGGGTGATATTACTGCTGGTAATACACTTAGAAATAATAAACTTAGACAACTGCTCCTGGGCAGCGTAAAAAAAAAATCTCCAAGAATGACTGTATCAATGCCATGTGTAGAGCTGATGTTTCGCCAAATTTAGTTAAGTTTCGTTGAATTTAGTCTAAGAAGGTTATATGAAGTGGGTTTGGTGGGGTTTAGCAGCTTTTCACAACTAAATTTCCCTACGTCATTGACTTTACCATTAATGACAAACTGACAATCATGTTTACAGTTGAGTAAAATCTGGTTTAGTTTACCATTAAGGCCGAGTATGGGAGCCTATCACAAGGAAACTTTTTTCTTAAGAAGGATTGTTTTAGCTAAAATACATATATTTGAGGAAGACAGATGAATTCAACATCTAATATTGCTTTATTTTACAGGACGAGAAGTCGTCACTAGCCAAGAATTAATAAGCAGCCAAAATATAAAGAATACCTAACAGGAGATTAGCAGCAAATGGTGACCTCTGTGACACACCAAGAAAGGGTTAAGGTAAGTGCAAGTTTACCGGTTTAAAAGCTTAATTACTGATTAATGTAACATTTCAATATATTTCAGTTTTAAAACCTTTACATCCAAAGTTAAAGGCAATTAATTGTTTAGATTGATATATTATTAAATTCGAATTTATATAAAGTATCGTAGGTTCATAAACCACAGATTTGTGATTTGTTGACCCGTGAGCCTTGATGTGTCAGGGGAGGATATTAGATGTTCTCTGCCTGCCATACTGTACTGTACTAACACCTGCCCCGCCAGTGCTGGAAACGTATAACGGTGCCAACTTCAGGTAGTGAGACACACCAAGGCTTGCACAGTAAAATGTTCAGCTTTAGGGTTCAGTTTTACTAACACACATTTACAGGGTAGGTCCTAGTATCTATGTCTGTGTTGTAGGTACTGTACAGGTACAGAGCAGTGTGTTCCGCCGAGAGTCTTGTGCAGTTGTATCTCGAAGTGTTACAGTCTAGATTCGCCTTTTCTCCAGATTAACCAACCTAACCTAACTTAACCTCATTCTTCCAATTAACGTGATGGTGGATAATCTTTCGGTGAAATAAGCTGGGTTGGTGATTCTTCGAGTGATCCCATTATTTTGTGAAAATAAAATTATTTTTGGCGGATGGAATGTGGTGACAGTATTCCTAGTTACTTAAGCGTCATCTGTTTCGGTTACAACTGCATACATTTACGCTGCACAATCATAATAACATAAAGGAAATTTCTGTAGATTTTTAAGAATTATGCTTCTTGCTGTCACACACCCATAGTCAGGTATAGAGCAGGTCACATTTGACAGTGATACACCTCAGCTCGACAAAATCAGGCGTTAGCCAGAAAAAAATCCCAAGTGTCATCATATTAAAACAATTGGGGGAGAGAAAACTAATGTGTTTTACCGTTATTGTAAACTGTAGAATTTCAATTAGACATGAAATTTTTGGCTGCACAAGCGAGTTTGTAGAGAAGCCTTTTAAGCGATCTGATCATGGAAAATAAAATTCTGATTTGTGTGGGGAACCCTGACTCAAGCGTAAGTTTCATGACAACTTAGGAACCAAAAAATAGTCAGGTGTGTGTCAGGGAGGCACATTTAGGGTGATGCTCAGTATAATTATCTCCCCGACTCACCTGAATTTTTTTACGTGTTTAATTTGTTATGACATAAATGCTTTGATCCATAGACACACTATGAAAGTCTTCACACACACACCAGAGGGTGATAAGTCACTCACACATACAAAAGGTCTCCAAGGAGGCTGTGTCAACTCTCGCCTCCACTGATTATCTTAAATCTTATTAAACCTGTCCTGGTGTATATATCAGGTGTCTCCAAGGTGTGGCAGGGGAGGAGGTTCATTAGCTCCCCAGGTACCCTCATTGATACCTGGATGGTGTATCTGGTGGTTATCATTAGTACCAGGTACCTTCAGTGACACCTGCATGGTATGAGAAGTGTGTTGTATGGGCCCGCCATTTTAAGATCAGGTGTTGAGTAGAGGCAAAGTGACGGGTGATAAAAATAGTGCTGGAAGGTGAAGACAGGTGAGCGAAGGTGAAGACAGGTGAGGGAAAGTGAAGACAGGTGAGGGAAGATGAAGACAGGTGAGGGAAGGTGAAGACTGGTGAGGGAAGGTGAAGACAGGTGAGGGAAGGTGAAGACAGGTGAGGGAAGGTGAAGACAGGTGAGGGAAGGTGAAGACAGGTGAGGGAAGGTGAAGACAGGTGAGGGAAGGTGAAGACAGGTGAGCGAAGGTGAAGACAGGTGAGGGGAAAGGAAGACAGGTGAGGGAAGATGGAAGACAGGGGAGGGAAGGTGAAGACAGGAGGGAAGGTGAAGACAGGTGAGGGGAAGGTGAAGACAGGTGAGGGAAGGTGAAGACAGGTGAGGGAAGGTGAAGACAGGTGAGGAAGGTGAAGACAGGTGAGGGAAGGTGAAGACAGAGGGAAGGTGAAGACAGGTGAGGGAAAGTGAAGACAGGTGAGGGAAGAAAGACAGTGAGGGAAGAAGACTGGTGAGGGAAGGTGAAGACAGGTGAGAGGAAGGTGAAGACAGGTGAGGGAAGGTAAGACAGGTGGGGAAAGTGAAGACAGGTGAGGGAAGATGAAGACAGGTGAGGGAAGGTGAAGACTGTGAGGAATGAGGGAAGGTGAAGACAGGTGAGGGAAGGTGAAGACAGGTGAGCGAAGGTGAAGACGGTGAGGGAAGGTGAAGACAGATGAGGGAAGGTGAAACAGATGAGGGAAGGTGGACAGGTGAGGGAAAGTGAAGACAGGTGAGGGAAGATGAAGACAGGTGAGGGAAGGTGAAGACATGAGGGAAGGTGAAGACAGGTGAGGGAAAGAAGACAGTGAGGAAGATGAAGAGGTGAGGGTGAAGACTGGTGAGGAAAGGTGAAGTCAGGTGAAGGAAGGTGAAGACAGGTGAGGGAAGGTGAAGACAGGTGAGGAAAGGTGAAGACAGGTGAAGGAAGGTGAAGACAGGTGAGGGAAGGTGAAGACAGTGAGGAAGGTGAAGACAGGTGAGGGAAGGTGAAGACAGGTGAGGGAAGGTGAAGACAGATGAGGGAAGGTGAAGACAGATGAGGGAAGGTGAAGACAGGTGAGGAAAGGTGAAGACAGGTGAAGGAAAGTGAAGACAGGCGAGGGAAAGTGAAGACAATTGAAGGAAGGTGAAGACAGTTGAAGGAAAAGGAAGACAGGTTAGGGAAGGTGAAAACAGGTGAGGGAAGGTGAAGATAGGTGAAGGAAGGCGAAGCCAGGCGAGGAAAGGTGAAGACAGGTGAGGGAAGATGAAGGCAGGTGAGGGAAGATGAAGATAGGTGATGGAAGGTGAAGATAGGTGAGGGAAAGTGAAGACAGGCAAGGGGAGATGAAGATGGGTGAGGGAAGGTGGAGGCAGGCGAGGGTATGCGAGCTAATAAGAAAATTATATATGGCGAAGGAATGTATGGACAGGTGAAGACAGGTAAGGGAAGGCAATTAGTGAAAAGGTGAGGGAAGTGTGGAGCGAGAGCCACAGGTGCGCCGGTCGACCCCTCATCACTATCTCCCTCAGGTGAGGCTGCTACACTACCTATATAACACATCTGCCCCACACCTTCCTCCACCCTCACACCACCATCACCACTCACTCCATCCATCAACTGCACCAGAGATAAGGACTTTGGTTGTGGTTTTTCATGTTAATGATTTACGTAAGCTAGATCGATGATAAAACAGATGAAGTGTGGTGGACACACCTCAGCCAGCCACCGTGTAGTTCCCACAATCAATACAAGATGGCGGTGAGGTAGTCACGCGCGTCAAGTGGCAACAGTGGATGCCGTTTCCTCATAACCACGCAATGTTCACCACTGACCTTCATATTTGTCACTATTTGTGATTATTTCTAGCTAGAGTGAGCCTGTAAACCCCGGAAAGGATATAAAATAAGGACAGACGAGAGAAGGACGAGGGAGAAATATAGAGTGAGGGAGGGCGAGGTGGAGGAACTAGTTTGTGGTGCGGAGGGAGGCGGTGATCGAGGGCAGGTGTGGTGATGGCGGCGCACTGAGCGGGTTAGTGAGAGGCAGCAGTGAACATCTCGTGCCGCCCCTCCGCCGCTCCTGGCGTACCACCAGCCGCACCACGCCACCACCTCTCATTCAGTTAGTGGCGGCGGCGACTAACCTCCACCGTAGCCACCGCTGGAGGAGGCCGCGGTGCGAGTGAGAGTGACTGAGGGAGAGAGTGAGAGAGAGGGCCGGGCGGGGCGGTACACAGGTGAGCGGCCGCAGGTGTGGACCCCCCGAGTGTAGTGAGTCGGGCACGGGCGTGACGGCGGGTGACGGAGGTGGGTGGGTTGTGTCGCCTGAGGGTTCGGGTCTTGAGGGCCCGCGAGTGCCGTCAAGATCGTGTGGTCGGTCGTCTCGGGCATGGGGGCGCGGCGGGGCGCGGAGGGTACGAGGTGCCCCCCGTCGCAGGAGCTGCTCATAGAATTCACGGTGGCGGTGCTGGTGGAGCGGCCCCCGGACCTCCTCGCCTACGCCTCTGAGTACTTCCATCGTATGCATGAGGACCGCAGCAAGCAGCCGCCACCACCCTCTGAGTCTGAGGAGTCCATCATCACCGACGAAGATGACGACGACGAGCCCATGCCAGGTAGGCCACACTAAGTCAACCTAGTTCCTCATGGGTCACTATGTTCTGTAGAGTCCCCTTGGATCATTTTAGGTTGTGGTAGGCACTTGGGTCATGCTTGGCCCTACTGGATCACCCTAGATCTTGCTTGGTCATCTTGGGTCACTTTAGGTAATACTAGGGCCTTCTGGGTCACCATAGGTCATACTAAGTACTCAGGGTCATCCTAGCCCAGTCTTGGCACTCATGGGTCTCCCTAGCCCAGTCTTGGCACTCATGGGTCACCCTAGCCCAGTCTTGGCACTCATGGGTCACCCTAGCCCAGTCTTGGCACTCATTCGCCCTAGCCCAGTCTTGGTACACATGGGTCACCCTAGCCCAGCCTTGGTACTCATGGGTCACCCTAGCCCAGCCTTGGCACTCATGGGTCACCCTAGCTCAGTCTTGCACTCATGGATCACCCTAGCCCAGCCTTGGTACTCATGGGTCACCCTAGCCCAGCCTTGGTACTCATGGGTCACCCTAGCCCAGCCTTGGCACTCATGGGTCACCCTAGCCCAGCCTTGGCACTCATGGCTCCTAGCCCAGCCTTGGCACTCATGGGTCACCCTAGCCCAGCCTGGCACTCATGGGTCACCCTAGCCCAGCCTTGGCACTCATGGGTCACCCTAGCCCAGCCTTGCACTCATGGGTCACCCTAGCCCAGCCTTGGCACTCATGGGTCACCCTAGCCCAGCCTTGGCACTCATGGGTCACCCTAGCCCAGCCTTGGTACTCATGGGTCACCATTGGTTACCTTAGCCCTTGATCACAGTGAGCCACTATGCATCCTAGGTCAAGTAAACGCCCTTGGGTCACCCAAGACTATGGTGATCCACGTGGGTCAACTTAGGTTCATGTTAGGTCATGGTCATCCTGGGTCACCTTGGCTATGTTAGATCATCCTGTGTTATGTTATGTTATGTTATGTTAGGTCCTCGTGGGTCACCTAAGGTTATGTTAGGTCCTCGTGGGTCACCTAAGGTTATGTTAGGTCTCGTGGCCCTAAGGTTATGTTAGGTTCGTGGGTCACCTAAGGTTATGTTAGGTCCTCGTGGGTCACCAAAGGTTATGTTAGGTCCTCGTGGGTCACCTAAGGTTATGTTAGGTCCTCGTGGGTCACCTAAGGTTATGTTAGGTTCGGTCACCTAAGGTTATGTTAGTCTCGTGGGTCACCTAAGGTTATGTTAGGTCCTCGTGGGTCAAGTTAGTCCTCTGGGTCACCTAAGGTTATGTTAGGTCCTCGTGGGTCACCAAGGTTATGTTAGGGTCTCGTGGGTCACTAAGGTTATGTTAGGTTCTCGTGGTACCTAAGGTTATGTTAGGTCCTCGTGGGTCACCTAAGTTATGTTAGGGTTCTCGTGGGTCACCTAAGGTTATGTTAGTTCTCGTGGGTCACCTAAGGTTATGTTAGGTCCTCGTGGGTCACCTAAGGTTATGTTAGGTTCTCGGTCACTATAAGTGTTAGGTTCTCGTGGGTCACCTAAGGTTATGTTAGGTCCTCGTGGGTCACCTATTATGTTAGGTTCTCGTGGTCACCTAAGGTTATGTTAGTTCTCGGGTCACCTAAGATCTCGTGGGTCACCTATGTTGTTAGGTCCTCGTGGGTCACCTAGGTTATGTTAGGTCCTCGTGGGTCGGTTGTTAGGTTCTCGGTCACCTAAGGTTATGTTAGGGTCCTCGTGGGTCACCTAAGGTTATGTTAGGTTCTCGTGGGTCACCAAGGTTATGTTAGGGTCCTCGTGGGTCACCTAAGGTTATGTTAGGTCTTGGTCACCTAAGGTTATGTTAGGTTCTCGTGGTCATATGGTTATGTTAGGTCCTCGGTCACCTAAGGTTTGTTAGGTTTCGTGGGTCACCTATTGTATGTTAGGTCTCGTGGGTCACCTAAGGTTATGTTAGGTCCTCGTGGGTCACCTAAGGTTATGTTAGGTTCTCGTGGGTCACCTAAGGTTATGTTAGGTCTCGTGGGTCACCTAAGGTTATGTTAGGTTCTCGTGGGTCACCTAAGGTTATGTTAGGTTCTCGTGGGTCACCTATGGTTGTTAGGTCCTCGGGTCACCTAAGGTTATGTTAGGTTCGTGGGTCACCAAGGTTATGTTAGGTCCTCGGGTACCTAAGGTTATGTTAGGTTCTCGTGGGTCACCTAAGGTTATGTTAGGTTCTCGTGGGTCACCTAAGGTTATGTTAGGTCCTCGTGGGTCACCTAGGTTAGATAGGGTTCTCGTGGGTCACCTAAGGTTATGTTAGGTCCTCGTGGGTCACTAAGGTTGTTAGGTTCGGGTCACCCATGTTGTTAGGTTCTCGTGGGTCACCTAAGGTTATGTTAGGTCCTCGGTCACCTAAGGTTATGTTAGGTCCTCGTGGGTCACCTAAGGTTATGTTAGTTCGTGGGTCACCTAAGGTTATGTTAGGTCCTCGTGGGTCACCTAAGGTTATGTTAGGTTCTCGGGTCACCTAAGGTTATGTTAGGTCCTCGTGGTCACCTAAGGTTATGTTAGGTTCTCGTGGGTCACCTAAGGTTATGTTAGGTCCTCGGGTCACCTAAGGTTATGTTAGGTTCTCGTGGGTCACCTAAGGTTATGTTAGGTCCTCGTGGGTCACCTAAGGTTATGTTAGGTTCTCGGGTCACCTAAGGTTATGTTAGGTCCTCGTGGTCACCTAAGGTTATGTTAGGTCCTCGTGGGTCACCTAAGGTTATGTTAGTCCGTGGGTCACCTAAGGTTATGTTAGGTTCTCGTGGGTCACCTAAGGTTATGTTAGGTCCTCGTGGTCACCTAAGGTTATGTTAGGTTCTCGTGGGTCACTGTTATGTTAGGTTCTCGGGTCACCTAAGGTTATAGGTCCTCGTGGGTCACTCTGTTATGTTAGGTTCTCGTGGGTCACCTATGTTGTTAGGTTCTCGTGGGTCACCTAAGGTTATGTTAGGTTCTCGTGGGTCACCTAAGGTTATGTTAGTCCTCGTGGGTCACCTAAGGTTATGTTAGGTTCGGGTCACCTAAGGTTATGTTAGGTCCTCGTGGGTCACCTAAGGTTATGTTAGGTCCTCGGGTCACTAAGGTTATGTTAGTTCTGGTCACCTATTATGTTAGGTTCTCGTGGGTCACCTAAAGTTATGTTAGGTTCTCGTGGTCACCTAAGGTTATGTTAGGTCCTCGTGGGTCACCTAAGGTTATGTTAGGTCCTCGTGGGTCACCTAAGGTTATGTTAGGTCTCGTGGGTCACCTAAGGTTATGTTAGGTTCTCGTGGGTCACCAAGGTTATGTTAGGTCCTCGTGGGTCACCTAAGGTTATGTTAGGCTCGGGTCACTAAGGTTATGTTAGGTTTCGTGGGTCACCTAAGGTTATGTTAGGTCCTCGGGTCACCTAAGGTTTTAGGTTCTCGTGGGTCACCTAAGGTGTTAGGTCCGGTCACCTAAGGTTATGTTAGGTTCTCGTGGGTCACCTAGGTTATGTTAGGTTCTCGTGGGTCACCTAAGGTTATGTTAGGTCTCGTGGGTCACTTAGGTTGGTTTCTCACTAAGGTTATGTTAGGGTCCTCGTGGTCACCTAAGGTTTGTTAGGGTTCTCGTGGGTCACCTAAGGTTATGTTAGGTTTCGTGGGTCACCAAGGTTATGTTAGGTTCTCGTGGGTCACCTAAGGTTATGTTAGGTCCTCGTGGGTCACCTAAGGTTATGTTAGGTTCTCGTGGGTCACCTAAGGTTATGTTAGGTCCTCGTGGGTCACCTAAGGTTATGTTAGGGTTCTCGTGGGTCACCTAAGGTTATGTTAGGTCCTCGTGGGTCACCTAAGGTTAAGTTAGGTTCTCGTGGGTCACCTAAGGTTATGTTAGGTTCTCGTGGGTCACCTAAGGTTATGTTAGGTTCTCGTGGGTCACCTAAGGTTAAGTTAGGTCCTCGTGGGTCACCTAAGGTTATGTTAGGTTCTCGTGGGTCACCTAAGGTTATGTTAGGTCCTCGTGGGTCACCTAAGGTTATGTTAGGTCCCCCTGGGTCACCTAAGGTTATGTTAGGTCCCCCTGGGTCACCTAAGGTTATGTTAGGTCCTCGTGGGTCACCTAAGGTTAAGTTAGGTCCTCGTGGGTCACCTAAGGTTATGTTAGGTCCTCGTGGGTCACCTAAGGTTATGTTAGGTCCCCCTGGGTCACCTAAGGTTATGTTAGGTCCCCCTGGGTCACCTAAGGTTATGTCAGGGTGAGTCATAGTACATTATCCGGTTATGCTCTATCACGTTAGTCTGTGCTGGGTAAGTAAGGGTCATTCTTAGTCATGGTAGGTAGTTTGAGTCACAGGAAGGGCATTGTTGGTCGTCTTAGATCATGATTGGTAATGTTGGGTCACATCAAATGATGTTTTTTGATCATCACAAGTTGTTTTCGGTTATAGGTATTGGAACAGACTCAAATGTTAACACCACCCTCCAGTTACTTAATGTAATGGTTGGTGGTTTCTATAAAATGAAAAAATAAGTTTGGGTGAAACTTATTTTTAGAAAATAATCATCAAACAACACCGTTGTCTTTTCGGTGCTGGGCATGACGTCAGCAGAGGTAATCCTGAGTAATACATACTGGCACCAATAGGGCTTAACAAGCCAGGTAAAGTTCACTAAAGTTAGAGGTCAATTTTGTTTGCAATAACTATAGAACGCAAATCTAAATATATGCATATATTATTTATAAAAAAAATCTCGGGAAGTCCAGATAAGTGTCGTTGTCAAATATCCTCACAATACAATATTTCAAAATTTAAAAATAAGAAAAAAAATAGGTGGTCTTAACCTTAGGTAACATACCGCTCGTTCGTTATGACTGGTTACAGGTAAGTACCCAGTGATATCTCGATTATTTTAAACGACAACAGTTGGACGTTATAAAATGTGATTTATTTCTATGATGAATTACCAATGGTGAGTATATTTTCTTCTGGTGACGTCACGGCAAGTTGGAGCAAATGGCTGACAATTTTCCTCTGATGTTGTAATTATGGAAGAAGTGGGTTACATGTTTCACCATCTTTTACGGCGTGAAAATACGTGTTTAATGTCAGACTTTGAACCTGTGAGAGTCTCTTAGAAAACTAGATATATTTTGGATTTATACTTTAAGTGATGCTGCACTATCCTGATCCAGGGTCATGTTGCCATCAGTTAACTCTAGATCAAGTTGCCTGAGGTCATGTCGAGGCATGCATGATAGGGTTGTATTAGGGTCGTGATGGAGGTGTGGCAAGTCATGATAGAAGTGTGTCGAGTCATGACAGGTGTGCGTCGGGTCATGATAGAGGTGTGTCGGGTCATGATAGAGGTTTGTCGGGTCATGATAGAGGTGTGTCCGGTCATGAAAGAGGTTTATCGGGTCATGATAGAGGTGTGTCGGGTCATGACAGGTGTGTGTGGGGTCATGATAGAGATGTGTCGGGTCATGATAGGGGCGAGTCGGGTCATGATAGAGGTTTGTCGGGTCATGATAGAGGTGTGTCGGGTCATGACAAGCGTGTGTCGGGTCATGATAGGGGCGTGTCGGATCATGATAGGGGTGTGTCGTCTTGATAGAGGTTTGTCGGGTCATGATAGAGGTGTGTCGGGTCATGACACACCACGTTGAGTTATATAAGAACATAAGAACATAAGAAAATAAGGTGTCTGCAATAGGCCGGTTGGCCTGTGCATGACAGCTCCTGTCGAGAGTTACTACCACTCTCTATCATCCATGAATCTATCTAGCCTCCTTTTGAAACTTTCCAGAGTTCCCGCACTTACTACAAAGTTGCTAAGCTTGTTCCACTCGTCCACCACCCTATTTGTGAACCAGTTTCTTCCTATCTCCCTCCTAAACCTAAATTTATCCAACTTGAATCCGTTGCTCCGAGTCCTATCCTGTTCGGATATTATAAGAACTTTATCTATATCCCCTTTATTGATTCCTTTTACCCACTTAAATACTTCTATCATATCTCCCCGCACTCTTCGTATTTCTAGGGAATGCAAGTTAAGTTTCTTTAACCTATCCTGGACTATGATAGGTTGCGTTGGGTCATATTAGTTATTATCGACATTGTTTGTAATTTTAGGGTAATTTCTGTGTGGTGATGTGTTGTACTGGGAATTAAGGTTGATGATATTGGGTCACATGGGGTCATACTGGGTGATGATATTGGATCACATGGGGTCATACTGGGTGATGATATTGGGTCACATGGGGGTCATACTGGGTGATGATATTGGATCACATGGGGTCATACTGGGTGATGATATTGGGTCACATGGGGGTCATACTGGGTGATGATATTGGATCACATGGGGTCATACTGGGTGATGATATTGGATCACATGGGGTCATACTGGGTGATGATATTGGGTCACATGGGGTCATACTGGGTGATGATATTGGGTCATATGGGGTCATACTTGGTGATGATATTGGGTCACATGGGGTCATACTGGGTGATGATATTGGGTCACATGGGGTCATACTGGGTGATGATATTGGATCACATGGGGTCATACTGGGTGATGATATTGGGTCACATGGGGTCATACTGGGTGATGATATTGGGTCATATGGGGTCATACTTGGTGATGATATTGGGTCACATGGGGTCATACTGGGTGATGATATTGGGTCACATGGGGTCATACTGGGTGATGATATTGGGTCATCCTTAACACCAGGTTATTCCATATATGGCTAAGATCATCGCAGTTTAGCTAAGAATAACAAATAATTGATGAGACCAGCCTAGTATGGCTAAAAAAAATCACCCTAACATGGCTTAAAGTTTAGACCATCCCAGTGTGACTTCCATCACCCCCAGTATGACATAGATCACCTAGCTGGTCCAGGTAAGACCTTGGGGCATTGGTCAGGGTGTCAGGTAGGCACAGGTGGAGTGATGAGTCAAGTACAAGTAAGATTTGATGCGTCCTGGCAACTCATCCCAAACAGGTTGTCCCGGTGTGTGTGTGTGTGTGTGTGTGTGTGTGTGTGTGTGTGTGTGTGTGTGTGTGTGTGTGTGTGTGTGTTTTCAGACAAGTGTAGTATTAGTGTGGATGGTTGTATGACTTTATGTACGTTTGTTTGTGGGGTGTGTAGGGTGTGTGCGTGTATGTTTGAAGGGTGGGCATGTGTCAAGCATGTTATCTTAGCCCACAACACTCCTGCTTGGTGTGTACGTGGGAAGAATGTAGGTGTGTGTGTTGCGGAGAGAGAGGGAGAACATGATGTGTGTGTCATACTAAAACCTACTAAGTATTCTCCACTACACTACCACTGAGAATACATCAACAATTTACACCACCACCAGCGACTGTCGTACCTGTACCCAGAAATGATCCACCCTCAGCCGGTCGTCTGTAGAACTGTCTGGAAAGGTTAATAAAATAGAACAAAATATAAAGAAATAGAACCAGAAATAACATAATAAAAATAACCGAAGTGCAAAAATCTTCTATGTGATAGGAACCCCCAAAACCGCTATATAATTTTACGTCTTTCTCGCTCTGATTGAATCGTCTGTCAGAAAATGCGTTGTGTACCGATTGCACACACCCCCCTCTTCCTTCCCCCATCCCCTCCCCCCTTGGTATGTGACTACCAGGAGTTGACAGTCAGGTTTCACAGATAGGAAAGTGACTGGCCTGAGGGGAGGGGGGGGGTTGAGACATGAGAGCAACACCTAGTTACGAGATGTGTAATTTTGGACAGGTGAAAAAAAACGGGTTGAGGAGAGAGGGGGGGAGATTAGCAGACTGGTTGGGTCGGGTCGGGTCGAACAAGGCAACAGTGGTGGTGGGAGAATGAAGGGGAGGGTGTGGCTTGACAACCTTACCCGGCCCTGATGGTACTGTACTGTGTGCTGGCTGGCCTGAATACTTTACACACTTATAATGGCGCTTACATGTACACTTACTTACACAGGTACACTTACACTCTTACATGCTTATACTTACACACTTACATCGGCTGTTACACAAACACACATACACTTATTTACATTTGCGTTTCCTATTTATACGTCTAAACTAACGCACACCCACTTACGTACACACTTGCATATTAGCACGTATACTCACACATAATTACACATTTACGTACACTTACATATCAGCACGTTACATTTACTGTATTTACACACATACACACTCACACTTACACAAACTTGTTATCATCATGTAGTACTCAGAGCCATACCTGTTCACATCAATACCAGTCCATAGTACTCAGAACCACACCTGCCCACCCTAACACTTGTGGATTTGCCTTCCTCGGCGTAAGTAATGGGTCTTTCAAGACTGTGGGCACCAGAGAGAAAGGGAGAGAGAGAGAGAGAGAGAGAGAGAGAGAGAGAGAGAGAGAGAGAGAGAGAGAGAGAATTACCTTTGTCACACTCAATTACTTCTGTCGCTTCATCAAGGCGAAAGATAAAATTGAACCTAGTAAGTGGTATGCAGGAGCGCTAGTAGAAGCAGAACATTTGTGAACCAAAGTCTGGCGTACAATACCTTCCACAAGCTTGTAAACTCAAGACGCTGTTGATTGCTCGTATTGCTTGTGGCTGGAAGACTTCCAGTGTCTCTGTAGCAATAAGCCATTTTTCCATCGTCTAATAACTTCTTCCCATCATTTTATTAATTAATCTAATGGCAAATTATTTTAAAATTTGTTCTTCATGTACCCAGCTTTTGTCTAGTCACCCATCAAGTACCGTATCTTATGTACTGGCCTGAGTGAGCTGTGTGTGGTGGAACTGTTGTGGTCGCTCTTGTCGAGACGAAACACGATGGTTATTGGAACACAGTCTGTCCATTACGTATACTGATGGGTGTATTGTCTGGTTGTTAAGATGTTGCCATGATAGTGGAGTTCTTCTGCCCCTTTGACGAAGATGCAGGTGTGTGACGCAGGTAGTGTAAGTGGCAAAAATGTGACGCATGTGACCTAGTTAACGACGCAGGTGACAAGTGACGTAGATGTGACGCATGTAACCTAGTTAACGACGTAGGTACCGTAAGTGATGCAGGTGACAGCTGACGACGCATTTGACATATGACTTAGTTGACACAGATGTGACGCAGATGACTTAGATGACACATATGTGACGAAGATGACTTAGTTGACGACGCTCATAACGACGCACTTGGCGGAGGTGACGCAGGTGAAGGCCGCCGTCTCGTGGTAATTGATGAAACGACCACAACCGCCAGAATGAGTTGGTCAGCCGCCAGGTCGTTAGGCGCCCGGCCAGCCCTCACAGGTCGAAGTGTGGTCGTTCAGCCCTCCCAGGTCACCTAGGTCGTAGTGTGGTTATTCAGCGTCCAGGTCATAGTATAGTCGTCCAGTACTTCCAGGTCAGCGTTCAGGTCGTATTGTGGTGGTGTACTGTAGAGCGTGGTGGTCGTGTACTGTAGAGTGTGGTGGTGGTGTACTGTAGAGTGTGGTAGTGGTGTACTGTAGAGTGTGGTGGTGGTGTACTGTAGAGTGTGGTAGTGGTGGTGTACTGAGGTGGGTTTTACTGTAGAGTGTGGTGGTGGTGTACTGTAGAGTGTGGTGGTGTACTGTAGAGTGTGGTGGTGTACTGTAGAGTGTGGTGGTGGGTGTAGAGTGTGGTAGTGGTGGTGTACTGAGGTGGGTTTTACTGTAGAGTGTGGTGGTGGTGTACTGTAGAGTGTGTGTGGTGTACTGTGGTCGGTGTACTGTAGAGTGTGGTGGTGTATCAGAGTGTGGTGGTGGGTGTAGAGTGTGGTAGTGGTGGTGTACTGTAGAGTGTGGTGGTGGTGTACTGTGGTAGGTGTACTGTAGAGTGTGGTGGTGGGTGTAGAGCGTGGTGGTGGGTGTAGATCGTGGTGGTAGGTGTAGAGTGTGGTAGTGGTGGTGTACTGTAGAGTGTGGTAGTGGTGTACTGTAGAGTGTGGTGGTGGTGTACTGTGGTAGGTGTACTGTAGAGTGTGGCGGTGGGTGTAGAGTGTTGTGATGGAGTGGAGTATTTCGTCAGTTCAGCTTTAAAAGCCCATCACCGCTGTCCATCCTCTGAAAAAAAAATACAACAGTAAGTTATTTTTTTCTTTAATATATATTTCTCGTTGGGTCAGATTTGCGCCAATGGGAGACACGTGTTTTGTGCACTACTTGTGTCTTGTGCGCTTCCTTGTGTCTTGTGCACCTCCCCATATCTTGTGCACTCCGTGTCTTGTTCACTTCCCCGTGTCTTGTGCAACCCAAACCCCTGTGTGTCAAACGAGAAAAGGTATAATAAAATTTTCGGATGAGTCTCGGTGCAGTTTCAACGCCATCTTAAGTACAGTTACGTATAAACTCTATGGCCGACTGTCTGTGCAGTTTCAACTCCTTCTTCACTGAAATTGTCCAAGAATAATTGAGATGGTAATTAATAAAGACAATAAGAAATTTGGTGGAAAATATGACATACCGTGAAATGTGGTAAAGAAAATAATTTTGGGGGTTCGAGTAGTAGCAGTGTGTGTGTGTGTGTGTGTGTGTGTGTGTGTGTGTGTGTGTGTGTGTGTGTGTGTGTGTGTGTGTGTCTGTGTGTGTGTGTGTGTGTCTGTGTGTGTGTGTGTGTGTCTGTGTGTGTGTGTGTGTCTGTGTGTGTGTGTGTGTGTGTGTGTGTGTGTGTGTGTGTGTGTGTGTGTGTGTGTGTGTGTGTGTGTGTGTGTGTGTGTGTGTGTGTGTGTGTGTGTGTGTGTGTGTGTGTGTGTGTGTGTGTGTGTGTGTGTCTGTGTGTGTGTCTGTGTGTGTGTAGGTCAGGTAGGTAGTAGGTAGGTGTGTGTGTGTCTGTGTGTGTGTGTGTGTGTGTGTGTGTGTGTGTGTGTGTGTTAAACGTCAGTACGTGCAAGCAGTCGGTCGCAACTTCGTATATATTTACAGCAAGATGGGTTGAATCTGCGGCGGAAGGAGAGACACACTACAGTATAAAATCATTACAGGATACAGCCGTTGTGCTAAGTGGCAGGAGGAGGCGGGCACAACAACACTACTGCCCAGCCCAGCCTCCTCGCCTCTTGCCCACATCGCCCATAACAGCACTCACAGTAATGCTGCAGGAGGCACGCTGTAAGCCAATTAGAGATGATGTGCTCGCCCTTCACCCCCCCTCACTACCTGCCCGCCTCCCATCGTCTTGGCTTACACAAACCAACAAAAATATGAATATACATATATATTCGGGATCGTGTGAAAATAGAAACCATATTTTACTTCACCTGATGAATAAACACCCTAAGATTATCTTAACAGTTTAGTAAAAGAAGTTAATAGATACAGTCCAGTTAGTTTAAACCGTTAGGTTAAGACCGTAAGCCAGTTTACTTTAAAGCCGAATCATCAGCAAACAGGCTAAAAGCAAAACCCCTACGTGCTCCTTCCAGTTCTTCCTGGCGAAACAACACACACACACACACACACACACACACACACCACACACACACACACACACACACACACACACACACACACACACACACACACACACACACACACACACACACACACACACTATAAAGACAATCATCACGTACAATTAACAGCGCCTGGTGTTCTTCATCCTAAAACTCAGACTTCACTTACGCCAAACATCCTTATCCGCCTTCTGCTTAGACTGACGATCGTTCAGCTTAGACGGAAAAAATAAAACGTGAAAAATGGATGTGTCTATGTTGGGTGCCCTCTACACAC